GTCAGCGTGCGGGAGGGGGGGGGTGGGGTGGGGGGGAGTCAGCAGCCGACATCCAGCCCTTCCGAGCCGCCCAGGGCTGCCGTGTTGATATAAAGGGCCTGGGGCTCCGGACGCTGCTGCTGCGCTAGCCCTTTTAAATCACAGGTGTAGTGTATTAAACTGCTCCGCGTAGGAATGTGCTACTAATACGTAATGGAGTGTAAGAAACTGCTATTGTAGTAAACTGCTACCCGATGTAGCAAAGGCCTACAGCCAGGTAGCAGTTTCTTGCACTATAATATATGTGGAATTGCTACATGTAGAAATGTGCTATATGTAGCAGTTATTTATACGTATAGATTGTAAGAAACAGCTTTTGTAAAAAGATGCTACTTCCCTCATAGGTCATGTTTTCTAGACCTTACTTTTTTTTTCTCTTTTCTCTGGACTCTCTCCAGTTTGTCCACATCTTTCCTGAAATGTGATGCCCATAACTGGACACAATACTCCAGTTGAGGCCTAATCAGTGCAGAGTAGAGCGGATATCCCAGAGTGATGTTCTGTTTTTTTGCATAGATCCCTTTTCAGAGTACTCGTATTCAGCTTGTGGTCCAGATCCCTTTCTGCAGTACTCCTTCCTAGGAAGTCATTTCCCATTTTGTGTGCATGCAGCTTGTTATCATTCACAAACTTTATATTTGTACTCTGTATGCCATTATCTCAATCATTGATTAAGATTTGGAATAGAAACTTATCCAGAACTGATCCCTGGAGAATCCCACTCATTATGCCCTTTCAACCTGGTGAATCACTGATAACTACTGTCGGAACTGTTTTCCAACTAGTTTTGCACCCATCTTATTTTAGCTCCATCTAGGTTGTATTTCCATAGTTTGTTTATGAGAAGGTCATGGGAGACAGTATCAAAAGCCTTACTAAAGGCAAGATAGACCAGTCCTACAGATAGCATTTTCACACATACACGTGTAAGAAACTGCAATCGGTAGGGATATGCTACCTGTAACTGCCATATATGTGATGAAGCTAATTCCTACAGATAGAAACTGCAATCTGTAGGGATGTGCTGTCTGTAACACTGCAATCGGATGAAGCTAATTCCGACAGCTAGCAGTTTCTCACACTGTAGGTATGTGAGACTGCTATCTGCTTGAATTAGCTACATCAGATGGCCTTTTTTAGCAAAGTAGGACCTGTCGCTGCTGCAGGTAGCACAGTCCTAAAGATAGCGGTTTCTGACACATACATGTAAGAAACTGCAATCTGTAGGGATGTGCTACCTGTAACACTGCTATATATGTGATGAAGCGAATTCCTACAGATAGCAGTCTCTCACACTATAGGCATGTGAGACTGCTATCTGTAGCAATTTGCAACCTGTAGCAGATAAGGTGCCACCAGACTCCTTGTTGTTTTTGTGGATACAGATTAACACGGCTACCTCCTGATACTTGACATAGTAACCGTAGTGACTCTATGCTGACATAACTTGAGTTAACCCACACTTAAAGTGTAGATATGGCCTTAGGTATCTTAAATGTTTGGGAGTATGAGGATAGACTAAGATTCATTCAGGTGTTTAGGCTCAAGGCATTGGAACTGGCCTTACTGCACCTTACAGGCTCAAGAACAAAGAGGCACATAAAAAAAAGATATCATTTATTTATTAAAATGTCTTGATTCAAGGGTGTATAACTCATGATTTTAGAATTCTTGTGGTTGTAAAGGTATCTTGGGGTTGTAGATGTGTGTTCATTATACACCACTACCTCGATATAACGTGACCCGATATAACACGAATTCAGATACAACGCGGTAAAGCAGTGCTCCAGCGGGGGCGGGGCTGCACACACCGGTGGATCAAAGCAAGTTCAATATAACGTGGTTTCACCTATAACACGGTAAGATTTTTTGGCTCCCGAGGACAGCGTTATATTGAGGTAGAGGTGTATTTTGAAAGGCAAAACTATGAAAGGGTTGAACAAAGAATTAGATCAGTCCCTTAGGATAACTACATTGGCTATTAGCCAAGATAATCAGGGATGCAGGCCCATGCTCTGCATGTCCCTAAACTGTCCTTTGACTGCCAGATGCTGGGAGTGGACAATGGGATGGTTCGCTCAGTGCCAGTGCAAGGAAGTTTCGCGCCCTAGGCAAAACTTCCACCTTGCGCCCCCCTCAGCCCTGCGGCAGCTCCCCGCCCCCCCGCCTTGACGCCCCCTCCCGCAGCAGCTCCCCCCCCGCCCTGAGGCGTTCCCCCCCCCGCGGCAGCTCCGCCCCCCCAGCTCGGGGAGCCGTGCGGCAGCTCCCCACCCCAGCTCACTTCTGCTACGCCCCCTCCCCAAGCACGCCGTTGCTGCTCCACTTCTCCTGCCTCCCAGGCTTGCGGCACCAATCAGCTGTTTGGCGCCGCAAGCCTGGGAGGGGAGGAGAATTAGAGTGGGGGCGGCGTGCTC